CACAAGCGGTGTGTCTGCGGGTGGGGCTATAAAGCGGGGCCCTGCCCACTGGGTGCAGAGCTGGGAGAAGAGATGAATGTCACCGAAACCGGTTTGGCTCAGTGGATAGAGCTTCAGCCTGCAGACTGAAGGGTCCCAGGTTCAATTCCAGTCAAGGGCATGTACCCTTGCTTGCGGGCACATCCCCAGTAGGGAGCATGCAAGAGGCAGCTGATTGATGATTCTCATCGATGTTTCTTTCTAACTCTATCTTTCTCCCTTCCTTTCTGTAAAAAATCAATAAAATAAAAAGACGAATGTCATGGGGGGAGGGTGGCCTAAAGGCAGAGTGGGAACTGCCAGAGAGCTTGATTTTTGAAGTTTTTACTATGTAATGGGACTGGCATGGGTGACTCTTCTGGCAGGAAAAGTAATTTCTGGAAGAGTCCCCCAGTTCCGGACAGTGGGTGCCTGTGTGCAGAACGTTGTTAGGAAAGCTCATCTAATCCGGGTGATTTCCTCCCTTGCATTTCTGCTGCCCATCCATCTCCCCTGCTCTTGGCCCCGGATTGGAATTTGATTTACGATGAGATGATTTGTTGTTTGGTGTAATTGCCCTAAATCCTGATCTGGCCCTGTTCTCCCCGCCCCAGTTTTCTACAAATCACTGAGCTGCCTCCAGCTTCTCCCCGCTGGCAGGTGCCAGACCTGGCTGCCTCCTGGGCTGCAGCGAGACTCTGCAGTCAGCCCTTCGTAAAAATTCTCCACACTGTGCACTTTTCACATCTTCCTGTATGAATGTTATAGCTCAGTCACAGGAAGGAAAAAAATCCCTGTCAAGTGCCCATGGCTATAATGAGGACCAAGTCCAGCTAGCAATGCTTGTAAAATACTGCACACATCTGAATGGCTATTGGTAAGTAATAATAATGTGTTTGAAGATGTTAGAGCTTGTACTAGCCCTAACTGGTTTGGCTCAATGGATAGAGCATCAGCCTGTGGACTGAAGGGTCTCAGGTTCCATTCCGGTCAAGGGCATGTACCTTGGTTGCATGTACTGGGAATGTGCAGGAGGCAGCTGATCGATGTTTCTCTCTCATTAATGTTTCTAACTCTGTATCCCTCTCCCTTCCTCTCTGTAAAAAAAAAAAATCAATAAAATATATTGGGGGGGGGGGGGGAATTGCTGTGCTATTCTTCTGGACCTGAAGTAATTCTACCAGGAACAGCAACTGAGCACATGTGAGCGGTTTCACTGGAAGGACAGGAGACATATTAGGACCTGTGTCTGGTGCTGAGTTTTAGCACGTAGCATTTGCTGGGTGCTTGCCCTTGCTTGTATCACCTCATCCAGTTTCCTGGCAGGCAAGGCAGTTGTACTGCTGCCCTCAGTTCCCTGACCTCCCACTGGCCTTAGAAGTCCATCGAGCACCCAGGCACCAACGCTCAAAGCCACTAAGCCCCTGTCACCTAACAGTGCACCTTCTTCCTCCTGGTGTGAATAGTCCAGTTAATAGTAGTGTGAAATCATGCCATCAAGACTGTGCCCTTGGTGAGAAAGGAAGAAAGGTGGTATGGCCACACAGCATGTGTGATGGCAGTAACTGAAATTCTGTTGAAATCCGGTGGGGTTTAGGAAATGTTCCCTTTTCTAATTTGGAGTATGGGGCTTTCTGGTCTGTCCCAGAATGGTCTGACCTCCTGCCCCAAGATAGATCCTCTGGTTGAGTTGAGTCCACTTCTCACTAAGGAAGAGTCACCCTCTTTCCTCGCCAGCAGACTCACCTCCAAATACTCTCTTCCTTGTCTAGGCCACTTACATGTCACACAACCTGTAAGGCCAGTTCAAGTGCCACCTTTCCCCAGAAGCCTTCCTGGATAGCCCTACCCTTTCCCAAACTAACCGCTCCCTTTCCCAAACCCCAGAGCAGCCGTGGTGTGGCTCCACAGTGGGATTGCATAGTATCGCCCTCTTCCAAGTCTCTGAAAGCTCCCCTGAGAAGCTACTCCAAATACACATAAAACCTACACAAAAGCCATGGGGTGCTGACCGGTTGGGCATGGTTCAGTGGTTGAGCATAGATCTATTAATATGAACCAAGAGGCCACAGTTTGATTCCCGGTCAGGTACAAGTCCTGGTTGAGGGCTTGGTCCTATGTGGGGTGTGCCGGAGGCAATCCATGTGTGGGAGGCAATCCATCAATGATTCTCTCTCATCATTGATGTTTCTATTTCTCCCTCCCTCTCCTTTCCTCTCTGAAATCAATAAAAATAAATTTTAAAACAAAAAAGAAGAGTGCTCTTCAAAGGCAGCCTCAGACATGCTCTCTGCCTGTGTTCCAGCCAGGAGTCTCCCTTCAGCTCAGCGACACAGATGTTCCCGAGCCTTTAAGTTAGGCACAACCATGTCTGTTCTACTCTCTTGATTGTATGCTGCCTGGGACTGTTGTCAATTATTTCTTGCTTGTAGGTCTTGATCTTCAACAAGGCGGTGACCTCCTCAGTCTCATTCCCTGTGCTCCATAGGGTCCAGCAGAGGGCTGTCATAGCCAGGCGGAGAGCACCAGCTACTGAAGACTTGGAGATGCTTTGCTGAAAATACACTGAGCTTGGTAAATTCAGCAAATTCTTTTTATTCCTATCATTTATAGTATTAATGTGGACAGGCTTAATGAATAATGGTTGGCGTTTTAATTGCATTTTTATTGATTTCTCCAGTTGTTAAGTACAATTTGTAAGAAGCCAGTTGGACTTTAACTGCACTGCTGCTGTTTCCCAAGGTAACACTGTACTTTTTCATCACACCCTTCAAACGTGTGCTCAGCACATTTCATAGGCGGAGGAGATGAACTGCTCAGAAACAACACTGACCACTGCGGCACGCATATCAACGAACATGTTTTCATTCCCATCACATGTCTTCCCAGTTTAGGATTAAGTTATTGCTCATTCTGTTCAAATAGCAACTGCGGTTTATGTCCACACTGGATACTTCGTGTGTCCCATCCTCTTCCTCCGGTTGACACTGTGGGGTTGGTATTAACCCCTTTGTACCACAGGCCCACAATCCTTTCCTAAAACCTTTGGGGCCAGGTATGTTTTGAAGTCTGAACTTCAGGGATTTTAGAAAAGTGAGCAGATAGCAGATGCCCAAGGCTTTGGTTTTGTAACAATCTCAGCCAGAGCAAGGGTGGAGCCCAGTAATTTAAAACATTACTAATTCTATAGTAAAACATAAATCTTTTTTCTTTTTTTAACGTAGATGATGTTAAGTTGTTCCCCCATTTGTTCAGGTCAGGCTTTGCTGATGAATGAGGTTTAGCATCAAACTTTCTGGTTTCATAGATTTTGGGTTTTCCTTTTATAGGTAAGGGCTGGTGGCCTGTGTCTGACTTCTGAGGTGCACTGCAATAGAGCTGGCCACTGGGTTTGTCAGAGATCTCAGACCCTGGCTCCACCAGCACCATGCGGCACTCGTTCAGTTGGGGATTACATTCAATTCACCAAACATTTGTTAAGGTGGTGTCTATGCGCCAGGCACTATGAGAGTCTTTAAGGGGAGTAAGATAGGGCTCTGTGTTAGTGGGCTCAGGCTGCTATAACAAATCTCAGGAAATGGGGGGAGGGGGACACGCGGGCTCCTGGGGCTGGGGGTGGGGGTGGGTGGAATTAAGCAGCAGGCATTTATTTTCTGACAGTTCTGGAGGCTGGGAGATCAAGCTGCCAACAGGTTGGTTCTGGTGAGGACTCACTCCCTTTCTGTCTTGAAGATGGTCACCTTCTCACTGCATCCTCACCTGTCTTCTCTGCATGTAGGGAGAGAGCAATCTCTGATGTCTTTTCCTCTTCTTATAAGGACACAGTGGGGAAAGGGGGTGGAGGAGGAGGGCACAGAGAAAATAAATGTGATGGAAAAAATAAAGTAAAATAAATAAGGACACCAGCCCTATCTGATTAGGGCCCACACTTATACCTTCACATGGCCAACAATATACTGATAACAAACCCAGACAAAGACATCTCAATAGGCCTAGATCCAAGATATATAATAGACCAAGATCAACATGGTGCATATATATGTTGTATATATAAAAAATGTATAACATGACCAAATGGCATTTATCCTACATATGCAAAGTTATTTAGGACCTGCAAATAAGTTCATGTAATATACCTTATTAGTAGACAAAAACTCAAAACCAAAACTCTCGAGAGTCTAGCATATAATTTGCTTAAACAAATTTTAACTATACAGAGAGAACACCAATTGAACTTGAAAACATTTCTCTAAAAAGCCTACTTCTCTAAAATCTGCCTTTGCAAATGTGGCAGTTGAAAGCAAAATATGAAATTGTTTATCCCCTTTGACCCAAAAATCCCACTCCAGGGAATTAATTGATCCTAAGGAAATAATTCAAATAAATATTGTTATTACAGTGTAATTTGTAGTAGTGACAAATTTTAAACAAAGGCCAGTGTTAAATAAATTATAGTATACTAACTCAGTAGATTACTGTGTAGCCATCATACTTTAGAAATATGATATGTAAAGCAACATGACAGTGTTTATAATGTAAAACTGAGTTTCCATATGAACATCCCTGAGAGAGTTTCCTGGGAGGAAATTCAAAGTGAAGATAATTTTAATGTTGAATGTTAGGAATATGAACATGTTCATGTCTACCTTTTTAAAAACTTAACCAGTATAACATATTTTACACAGTGCCCAAGATTCCCAACCTAAACTCCCCCCCCCCCCCCCCCCCACACACACACACACACAACAGGGTTAGCATTTTAGCAGGTAGATGAGATAAAAGTCAGCTAGGTGAGGAAAATAACTGTGATATGAAATATCATTCAGGTTTGTAAGTTCGTGAAATCGAAAAAAAGGAATAAAAATATGTATTATTTTGCAAACTCAGAGAAAAAGGAAGTTTATCTATGAGCTCAAAGGAACATATAAGTGTGTTTTAATTAAAATTTTTAAAAGACTGAATAAACATCGATGTTTACGAAGCTATGGTGGGAGCTTCGCATGGCACGTCCTCCGCATGGGATGGACGTTATGGAGCTGCAGCTGAGGGTGGCACAGGAGCTCCTGGATCCTGTCCTGGCACATCTTGTCACCTGCTCTCCCCACTTCCAGCTCCCGGCGCTCCTCCTCCTTCTGTGCTTCCCGGGCCTGCTGCTGGTAGGACATTTGCATCTTAAGCTGCTTCCGGTACTCCTGGGCTAAACCAGAGCGTCTGCAGTATTAGAAACGTCAAAGTAGAAAATTATAGAAGTAAGCATTTGGATTTATTTAGGGCATTAAAATACAATCAGGGTGAGTGGGGAAGAAACAAATGGCAAATCCAATAATGTATTCAATCCTACATAATAAAAGCATAATATGCAAATTAACCATCACATCACTACACCACACCACACCCACCAGCCACACCCACCAGCCAATCAGAGCAAGCATGCAAATAAACCTAACCAACATGGCTACAGCCACAGAGAGCAGGAGGAAGGGTTGGGTTTCCCAGGCAACAAAAGAAGCCAAGCTTTCCTCCTGCTCTTGCCGGCCTAGGCCTCCACTCAAGGCTACAAAGTTTCAATTATAGAAGGTAAACAAATCCAAACAAATGGCAGCAGCCACAGAGCTGGAGAGAGCAGGTTAGGGTTGCCCTCAGCAACGGAGGAAGCAAAGCTTCCTGCATACCCTGGCAGGCCCAGGCCTCTGCTTAAGGCTACAAAGTTTCAATTATAGAAGGTACATAAGTCCCAATAGAAATGGCTGCCGGCCACGGAGAGAGCAGGAGGCTTGGCTTTGCTCCAGGCTACAAAGTTTCAATTGTAGAAGGTAAATAAATTCCAGATACCAGGGTCTCTGCTTGGGTTGCAAGGGGCATGGCCAGCCTGCAAACCATCACAGGCCCCTCACTCAGGCCACCCTACACCCCAAGGGAACCCCCACCCTGATCTGAGACACACTTCAGGGCAAACTAGCTGGCCCCCACCCGTGCACCAGGCCTCTATCCTATCTAATAAAAGAGTAATATGCAGATTGACCATCACTCCAACACACAAGCTCAAGATAGCTGCCCCCATGTGGTCAAAGATCCTGCCCCTATGTGGACACAAGATGGTCAGCAGGAGAGGGCAGTTGGGAGGGACCAGGCCTGCAAGGGAGGGCAATTGTGGGCAATAAGGCAAGCAGGGAAGGGCAGTTGGGAGGCACCAAGCCTGCAAGGGAGGGCAGTTGAGAGGGACCAGGCCTGCAAGGGAGGGCAGTTGGGGGCAATCAAGCCTTCAGGAGAGGGCAGTTAGGGGTGACCAGGCCAGCAGAGGAGGGAAGTTGGGGGCAAACAGGCTGGCAGGGGAGCAGTTAGACATCAATCAGGCTGGCATGGGAGTGGTTAGGGGTGATCAGGCTGGCAGGCAGAAGTGGTTAGGGGCAACCAGGCAGGCGAGCAGATGGGAGTCAGCAGTCCTGGATTGTGAGAGGGATGTCATCCCTTGAGGGATCCCAGATTGGAGAGGGTGCAGACTGGGCTGAGGGACACCTCCCACCGCCCCCATGCACGAATTTCATGCACTGGGCCTCTAGTATGTAATAATTAAGATAATCTTAAAACAAATACTAATTTTTAGGGAAGGAATTTTTCAAAATATTCACTGTTATATGGAGAGAGTTTTGGTCTTTTTCCATCCCCTCTCCCTCTCCTCTCCAAGACTGTCTATCAAAGGGCCAGGCCACTACAGGGAAAGCCTGCAGTGGTCTCATATTGTGGTGACTAGGTGGGTAAGTTTGCCTCCTTCTGTTCAGTATTAACTGGACAATTTTTTCCATAGATAAGCAACATTTTATATATATATAAGCCACATTTTAAATGTATACTGTGAGCCCTGGCTGGTGTGGCTCTGTTGGTTGGAGTGTCATCCCATATATTGAAAGGTCGCAGGTTTGATTCCTGGTCAGGGCACATACTCAGGTTGCTGGTTCAATCCTCAGTCCTTGATCAGGTACATACTGGGAGGCAACGGATCGATGCTTCTCTCTCACATCAATGTTTCTCTCTCTCCCTCTCCCTCTCCCTTACCCTTTCTCTCTCTCTAAATATCAATAAAAATATATCCTTGGGTGAGGATTAAAATTTTTTTTTTAATTTATAGTGTGATTTTCTTATTGTGGTAAAAAACACATAATGTAAAATTTACCATCTTAACCATTTTTAAGTGTTAAGTATATTCACATTGTTGTAAAATAAATCTCTATGATTTTTTCATCTTGCAAATCTGAAATTCTATACCCATCAAAAACTGAAAACTCACCTTTTCCCCTTCTCCCCAGCCCCTGATGACCACCATCCTATTTGCTGTCTCTATGAATTTGACTATTCTAGGTACCTCATATAAGTAGACTCACACAGTGCTTGTATTTTGGTGTCTGGCTTATTTCACTTACCATAATGACCTCAAGATTCATCTATGTTGTAACATGTGTCAGAATTTCCTTCCTTTTTAAGGCTTTATAATAGTCCATTGTATACAGATTCCATATTTTGTTTATTCATCTGCTAATGGACATTTGGATTATTTCCACCTTTTGGCTATTGTGACTAGTGCTGCTATGAACATGGCCATGCAAATCTCTCTTCAAGGTCCTGCTTTTAATTATTTTGGATTAATTAAAGTGAAATTGCCAGACCATATTGTGGACTAAGCAGGAGTTCTATAGAAAGTAACCTCACAAAGTGATCTGATCATAAATCCCTAACTGGGCAGGACATGGTGGGTAGTCATGCAACAGGCATATACGTTAACACATCTTGAAATAAGCATAACAACTCAAAAAAGCATATAATCTTGTTAACTATGCTGTAATCCTTGCTTTCTCCCACCCTTAGGTAATCTTTCATCCCTTCCCTCCTTTATTTCAAATGCTTAAGAGAAACCGTGAAACAGCCGTTCTCAGAGATTTGAGATCTTGCTTCTTGGCAACTGTCATCAGTGTTGGCTCAAACACGTTCTCTATAGGTTTGGACATTTCTTACATCAACAATATGACAGTTCTATTATTAATTTTTAAAATATATTTTATTGATTTTTCACAGAGAGGAAGAGAGAGGGACAGAGAGCCAGAAACATCTATGAGAGAGAAACATATACCAGCTGCTTCCTGCACACCCCCCCACCCCCCGGGGGATGTGCCCGCAACCAAGGCACATGCCCTTGACCGGAATCGAACCTGGGACCCTTCAGTCCACAGGCCGACGCTCCATCCACTGAGCCAAACCAGCTTTGGCTCTATTATTCATTTTTGAGGAAATTTCATACTGTTATCTTTAGCAGTTGCACCATTTTATAATCGATAGATAAGCCACATTTTTAATATCAGGTTTCATTAGAAATAAAGATTATAGCATATATATGCTTCTGTGGCAGATTCTATTTTCACAGTTTGTTTTCTTGGGGGGGGGGGGGGCGGTCATCAAGTTATTTCATTAGGATATAGGATTGGTACCGGTTTAAAAAAGTTTTTCTAATTTATATTATTTTTTCAAGATGTTCATCTGCCCTAGCCAATGTACTGAGGTAGCTAGAGCATCAGACTGCATACCAAAGAGTCTTGGGCTCAATTCCCAGACAAGGACACACATCTGGGTTGTGGGTTCACTCCTGGGCCCCTGTTGTGGTGAATGCAGGAATCAACCAATCAATATGTCTTTCTCACATCAGTGTCTTTCTCTCTCTCTCTCTCCTCCTCCCTCCCTCCCTTCTACTCTTTCTGAAAGCGATGGAAAAAAATATCCTAAGGTGAGAATTAACAAAAAATAAATAAAATAAAGATGATTATTCAGGTCAATACCCAATTAGTATAATCAGGATGTACACAATAGCAAGAGAATTTCATTTTACCAAGATGGTTGATACTTCTTTTAAGAGTCTCATGCTCTACTGACTGAGCTAGCCAGGCACCTTGATACTTATTTTAACATGAAATTCTGTAGAGTGATTTGAGCCTTTAGGACAAATAAAAGGATATTTGTCCTAAAGGAAATAGGGATACATGAGAAATATGTCAGGTGATTTCATTGTGTTGAACATTGCAGAGTACATTTATACAAACCTAGATGGGATAGCCTATTATACACCTAGGCCTAAAGCCTGCTGTTTGTGTATCCAAACATATCCAAAGGTACAGTAGAAACAGAATAGGCCCTGCCTGTGTGGCTCAGTTGGTTGAGCGTTGTCCCGTGCACTGCAAGGTCACTGGTTCGATTCCCGGTCAGGGCATGCAAACAAAAACACAGAATACAATACTTTTATCCTACTGGCAGCACAGTAGGTTTGTTTACACCAGCATCGCCATAACCATGGGAGTAATGAGCTGTACTACAGCAGTATTAGAGCGGCAGCACTAAGTGATAGGAATGGTTCGACTCTGTTATCATCCCAGGGGACCATCATTGTACCTGCAGTCCGTGGGTAGAAACGCTATGTAACACCTGACTGTACTGATGTAAAATAATGTCAATAATGCAAGAATTATGGCACATGGTCCTCTGTGTTAAAAATCTCCATTTTTTTTTTTTTTTATTTAGATGGTAAGTGATAATTAAGAAAACAAAAGCATACCTTACAAAATTCTTCTCCTCTTCACGGTCAAGTTCTTTAAGACCTTCCAGTATGTGCTGTTCTTCCAAAGCACGTTCTTCCAGTTCTTTCGCTTTTCGTTGCACTAAGAAAGACAACAGCAATGCTTGCCAATTGACTCTTTTCAGACAAGACTTGCTAACATCTTTCTGGGTATCAATGGCATATTATTTTTAGAAAGGCAGAGGTTAGAATCACTGGGCTGGATCTTAGGCCAATAAGATAGAAGTAGTTATCTCCATTGAGGAAAGTGCAGGGTTTAGGTTGGTTCATATGTGCTGTGTGATCTACACAGATTTTCTCTTAATCATTTTTTGTTGAGACACTTTGCTCAGCCTTTTTCAAAGCAATTACCATAGAACGTTCTCCTCTTGAGGACAAATAGTTAATTCTATTGCCAGTAATGTTAATGAGAGCTTTTATTTATTAAAAAATATAAATTTAAAAAGTCTCAGTATAAAAGGTATTTAAAAATTAAATAATAGGGTTGGACCTGCATTACCACCATTTGCCCACCATCCAGAACTGAAATAGCATTGCTGACATGTACACATAAGGAACTGTTTGACATTGAAATTGGGTCTCAAAAGAACTGGTGGCCCAGAAAGAAGCTCACTACAGACTGATTCATAAGCCTTTCAGCATAACGATTATTGCTTGTCTCATTTTTTTATTCTTATATTTCCAGTAGGACATGATCTCACTCATCTGGGGGAAATGGTGAACAACATAGACTGATGAACAAGAACAGACCCAGAGATAAGAAGCCATGGGTCAGACTGTAGGATCTCAAAGGAAGGGTGGGGATAAAAGAGAGAGCTCAACCAAAGGACTATTGTGCACACATATGAGCCTAACCAGTGGTCAAGGACAATAGGGGAGTTGGGGCAAGAGTGGGGGAGTGTGGGGCTTGGAATGGGGTGTTGAGGACAAATATATGATACCTTAGTCAATAAAGAAATTAATAAAAAAAAATAAAAAAGAATAAATAAATAAAAATTAAATAATAAAAACTGAAGCATCCCTATGGGAAAAAAAATGACAAAGAAAACAGAGTTCACAAAAGAATAAACACAACCAGGCAATACACATCTGAAATGTACATATCTTCCCAAAATCCACTTATAGAAATTTATCTTAAACAATCATATATAAGCCAACATAAACTATTTACAGAGCTTTTAGGACAAATGTAACACATTCACCTGCCACTTACTCATGATAACCTGCAATACTAAAGTACTGAGTAAGTGGCAAGAAGATTCAAAACAATCTAAAAGTCCATTGGTTGTGTTTTGGTAAAATAAATTATGGTCCATGTTTATAATGGATTTCTAGGCAGCATTACAAATCTTATAATTGAAGAAAAATGACCTGGGAAATGTTTATAATAAGTGCAGAATCCAGGCTATAAAACAATATATACAAAATGACCCTTATTTGTAGGGGAAAATTATATACATAATAAAAATACTTGAAGATGGCGGCATAGGTAAAAGCCTAATTGCAGCCTCACACAACAATTTCAAAAAAATACAACTAAAATATAAAGTGGACATTATCCAGAACTACAGGAAAGTAGACTGACTGGAAATTCTACAACTAGAATGAAAGAGAAAACCAGAAGGAAAATCAGAGGAGCTGTAAAAGCCTAAGGTACGGAGACATGGTGCCCTCGTGGGGAGAGGACGGAGCCAGAGAGGAGGGGCGGCTGAGTGCCTGGTTGGCATTCCCTAGCGGGAAGGAGATAAAAAGCTCCGAACTGTGCTGAACTCTAGTTCCAACTGCACTGAACCCCAGTTCTGGGTGAGACCCTGGGTTCCCAAGCTCATACAGAGGGATTCTAGGCTGTAAGGCAGAAATTCAGGGAAGCAGCGAAAGACAGAGCCCTGGAGTCGCGCACATTGCTTGCAGAGGACGAACGGTTGACTGTGCAGCTAGATTGCCCTAGCAGGAAGGAGACAAAAGCTCCGGACTGTGCTGAGCCCCAGTTCCAACTGCACTGAACTCCAGTTCTAGACCAGACCCTGGGGACCCACGCTCATCTGGGCTATAAGGCTAAAACTCAGGGGAGTGGCGAAAGGCAGAGCCCCGGAGTCGTGCACATTGCACACAGAGGACTGACTGATGACTGTGCCACTGGATTGCCCTACTGGGAAGAAGACAAACGCTCCTGACTGCACTGAACCCCACTTCCAACTGCACTGAACCCCAGTTCCAGGCTCATTGGGGAAAAGACTAGACTGTCTGGTAGTGGGCGAAACTCGAGGGCACCTTTCTCTCAAAGGTGCTGGCAGCGAGTACTAAAGCATTGAGTACCAAAGGACACTGAGGAACACAGAGATTCAGGAACCTCATAGGGTGGGGCTGACAGGAAGCCAAGGCTGTAGGCTCTACCCTGAAACTCCCCCCCATCCAAGCTGAGCACAGAGGCTTTTGAATAAGACTGTCTCTCGGCATAGACACAGCTGATCCTCACAGCCAATTGGACTGGAGGTCAGTTCCTCCCAGTGATACCAACAACAATTAAGACTTAACTACAGCCGAAACCTATTTGGCTTAGTGGTAGAGCATCGGTCTGCAGACTAAAGAGTCCCGGGTTCGATTCCGGTCAAGGGCATGTACATTGGTTGTGGGCACATCCCCAGTAGGGGGTGTGCAGGAGGCAGCTGGTCAATGTTTCTCTCTCATCGACATGTCTAGCTCTCTAGCTCTCTCCCTTCCTTTCTGCAAAAAATCAATAAAGATATATTTTAAAAAAAAGACTTAACTACAAAAGGCTGTACACACAGTCCACAAAGGGGTGCACCAAGAGTGTCCACCTCAGATAACTGGGAGGCTGACCCACTGAACCATATACGACACCTTAACACACAAAGCCACCCTATCAACTCAGGGAAGCAGCAAAAATGCCTAGACAAGGAAACAGATCACAAACGAAAGAAATGGAGGACAAAAAGCAACTGGATATAAAGTTCAAAACCACGGTTATGAGGTTTTTGAAGAATTTCCTAGAAAAGGCTGATAAAATAAACGAGACCTATGAGGATATGAAAAGGGATCAACTAGAAATAAAGAATACATTGTCTGAAATAAAAAAAAAATTATACAGAGTCCTAAAAACAGAATGGAAGATCGCAAGAATCAAGTCAAAGATTTGGAACATAAAGAGCCAGAGGACACTCCTCAGCAGAAGCAAGAAGACAAGAGAATCCAGAAAGTTGAAGATAGTGTAAGAAACCTCTGGGACAACTTCTAGCGAACCAACATCAGAATTATGGGAGTCCCAGAAAATGAGAGAGAGCAAGATACCGAAAACATATTGAAAGAAATAGTGAAAGAAAACTTCCCCCACCTGGTGAAAGAAATAGACTTACAAGTCCAGGAAGCGCACAGAATCCCAAACAAAAGGAACCCAAAGAGGACCACACCAAGACAAATCATAATTAAAATTCCAAGAGCAAAAGACAGAGAGAATATTAAAAGCAGCAAAAGAAAAGCAAGTAGTTACCTACAAAGGAGCACCCATATGATTATCAGCTGATTTCTCAACAGAAACCATGCAGGCCAGGCGGGAATGGCAAGAAATATTCAAGGTGATGAGTAGCAAGAACCTACAGCCAAAAATACTCTACCCAGCAAAGCTACTACTCAGAATCGAAGGCCAGATAAAGAGCTTCACTAATAAAAAGAAGCTAAAGGAGTTCATCACCGCTAAACCAGAATTATATGAATTGCTGAAGGGGGTTCTTTAGGAAGAAAAAATAAATAAAGATAAAAATTATTAACAACAAATATGTAACTATCAATAAGTGAATCTAAAACCCTAGGGAATTAAAAAACCTGTTGAACAATATTAACTGTTGAATATAATAGAATCAGAGGTATGGAAGGGGAGTGGACTGACAATTCTCGGGGAAAAGAGGAGTGGGGGGTGCGGGAAGAGACTGAACATAAACTGTGCACCTATGGATGAGGACATTGGGGTGTGGGGAAAGGGCAGAGGGTGGGGTGGGAACCTGGTGGAGGGGGAAAAAATGAGAAACTTTTGTAATAATATGTACAATAAAGATTTATTTAAAAAAATAAAAATAAAAATACTGAAGGGAATTACAGGAAGTTGTGAATGGTAACTATTCCTGGGTTGATGGAATTATAGCTGATTTTGTATCCTTCTTTATAAATGGTCCCAAATGCTTACCTTCTTTGTTTTCTCAGTCTGTTCTGAATTATTTATCATGGATGAATACAGAATCTTTTTCATTTATAAGCTTTCTTCTAATACTTAATAATTTTTAAAAAAAATTTTATTGCAGAGAGGGAGAGGGAGAGAGAGAGATAGAAACATCAATGATGAGAGAATCATTTATCTGCTGCCTCGTGCACGCCCCCTACCAAGATCAAGCAGTAACCCAGGTATGTGCCCTGAATGGCAACTGAACCATAACCTCCTGGTTCATAGGTCGACGCTCAGCCACTGAGGAACAAAGGCTGAGCTGACTTAATTTTTAACTGCTGTTATAGTACATGGAGTGGAGAATTAGCCAAAGGAGCCAAGATGAGTTTTCTCTTGCAAAGACAACTAATGTGAAGCCTAATGGCACCTAACTATGAATCATCCAGCTACTGGGCTGGACTTGGAATGATGGGAATCAGGAGATGGCGGTTTCTCCTCTCTACAGATACTTCCTTTTATAAGCAAGCATGGTTTGGAGCTCAGGGAGTACAATGGCGTGCTAAGACATGAGCAGGACTCAGTGAGAGCTCCAGGTACTGTTTGAAGCTCAGGGAACACAACGGTGTGCTAAGACATGAGTTGGACATAGTGAGAGCCCCAGAAGGAGTAGGAACAGGGTGACACAGAGGGCCTCTTGAGAAATGAGACATTTGAGCTGCCTGAAAGTTGTCCAGAATTCCTCTAGATCAAAAGCATCATAGAGAAAACTACCCACGCAAAGGTCTGTAGGTAGGGAGGTTGGAGACACCTGCAGAAAGCATAGAGGGATAGATAAAAGGGAGGACGGGGAGATGTGTGTCTTGCCCTACCTTCTCACTCTCCTTCATAATCACTAAGGCTCACAGACTAGTCATGTTGTTCCTTTACCCTTCAGAACGTCTCCCCTACGACTGCTCAGAGTCTGCTGGGACATAACCCTCTCCATATGCTTTAGGTGGTCACATTTAGGTAAGACCTGCAAAGCAGGGATCTTGCCTTAATCCTTTTTACATCCCTCATAGTAGTTTATACAGAATACCTATTTAATACATATTTTGGATGCTACTTAAATTGAATAAAAGCCCAACTAAAATATAATTCATTTCCTTACACTTTTCTTGAATTTGAAGTTTTCTTGTACACATGACCTCATTCATAAGTTGTTTCCTTGCCTCCTTTTCAAGTTTCAGCTGTTTGTCCTTCTCTGCCCACTTCTTTGCCTTCTCTTCTTCTAATAGTCTGTCCAATTCTTTCTCCTGAGCATTTTCTTCCTCACGCTGCTGTGCCAAATATTCACGATATATCTTCTGTTCTCTTATCATATCTTCCTACATAACATAAATTTACACATGTTGTTAAAACATTCTTAGGTATGATAATGATATTGAGGATATTTAAAAACAATTTTTGAATTACAATCTCAATGTTTCAGAACTACCACTGAAACTTTATAGATGAAATATTATGTTGAGGGTTTACTTCCAAATATTTAGGGGTGATGGGGTATTGGATGGTGCTATAGATGAAACAAGAATGATCACTAGCTGATGGTTGTTGAAGCTAGGTAAGGGACACATTAGGGATCTTTGAACTATTCTTTGTATCTGTTTGAAATGTCTTAAAATACATTGTTGAGTAAGTTAATTCAAACACTATTCCAAAAAGTGTCTCCAAGCAGTTCCCAAATAATTTGCAATGGTACAGCTTTATTTTCATTTGGCTACATGAAATCTTAACCTGATAAACAAAATAAATCACTACTACTATTATGGCACTGTCTCTGACTAGAAGATGAGTCAGTCACCTGATATTTTATAACAGAAATTATCAATCTTTGGAATAACCTGGAGTTACACTTTGGAATAACCTGGAGTGCTTTTCTTTCTTTGTTTTTATTCCTTACTTGAGTTCTGGCTAAGAAAAAATTCAGAGCCAAGACTCTAAATACAAGCAAAAGTTTATTTAGAAAGCCACAGAGGTAGAAGTGAGCCGTAGAAGAAATAGGCTCAGGAAACAAGTTACCAAGGCCAAAAAAGGGCCCTTGGAGCTTAGGAGAGAGAGACTAGGAAAATGTGCTGGGGAGAAGAGGAGGAGGAGGAGGAGGAGGAAGATGAGGAAGAGGAGGAAGAGGAGGAGGAAGATGAGGAAGAGGAGGAAGAGGAGGTGGAGGGAGGGAGGGAAGGAGGGAGGGAGGGAGGGAGGGAGGGAGAGAGAGAGAGACAGAGAGACAGACAGACAGACAGACAGACACACGAACTATGCCCATTTGGGGAGCTTAAAAAGTATTAAGGGCCTAGTCTCACCTCAAGAGATTCTTATCTAATGGATAGTTTTTAAGTTCCCAAATGATTTGAACGTGCAGCTAAGGTTGTGAACTGGACTTTATAACAATGACATTTCAGTTTACTTCTCCATATTTCATGGTTTTATATTTGTGCTGTTCCATCCAATCTCTGATCTGATCTCTTTTGAGAAAATCATAGACCTGAGGTAGGACTGGCAAGGTTTGAGGGCTATAGCTGCACTATCAGAATGGCTTGTAAACGTAGTCTCATTCTTATTTGGGAATAAATTTAATAAGAGAAGGGCAAAACTTAAACTCTTAAAACTAAGAAATATTATTGAAGTAATTAAAGAAGACCTAAATAAACGAAAAGACATCCTGTGTTTATGGATCAGTAAACAATATTGTTAAAATGGCAATTGTGCCCAAATTGGTCTAGAGATTCAAAATAAACTCTAACAAAATTTCATTGTCTTCTTTGCAGAAATCAATAAAATGATCCTAAATTCACTGGAAATTGAAGGGAGACCGAATAATCAAAACAATTTGAAAAAGAAGAACAAAGTTGGAGGATTTACATGTCCTGATTTCAAACTCACTACAAAGCTAGTGATCAAGATGCATAAACAGCCGGGACCAGTTTGGCTAAATGGATAGAGCGTCGACTTGGGGACTGAAGGACCCCGGGTTCGATTCCAATCAAGGGCATGTACCTTGGTTGCGGGCAGATCCCCAGTAGGGGGTGTGCAAGAGGCAGCTGATGGATGACTCTCTCTCATCGATGTTCCTAACTCTATCTCTCTCCCTTCCTCTCTGTACAAAATCAATAAAATATATTTTTTAAAAAGATGCATAAACATGAGATGCAGCATAAGGATGGACATATAGATTAATGGTATACTAGAACTAAAAGTCCAGAAATAAACCCTCACATTTACTCCCCATTGATTTTTGACAGGTTGAAAAGACATGTAGGAAACTTAAATGCATATTACTTAGTGAAATAAACCAATCTAAAAAGGCTACATACTTTATAATTCCAACTATATGACATTCTGGGAAAAGGCAAAACCATGGAGACAGTTTTAGGCCAGTGAAACTATTCTGTATGGTACTGTCATGGTAGATTTATGTCATTATACATTTGTCCAAACACCAAGAGTGAATCTTAATGCAGGCTTGAAGGGAGCACCAACTAATTGATGTGTCTCTCTCACAGCAATGTTTTCTCTCTCTGTTTCCCCCCTCCCAACCACTCTCTCTAAAAAGCAATGGAAAAATACCCTCGGGTGAGGATTAACAAAATAAAACACACACACACACACACACACACACACACACACACACTCACACACACACACACAACCAAAAGTGAAGCTTAATGTAAATTATGGACCTTGGGTGATAATAATAGTATAGGTTAATCAATTGTAACAAATGTTCCACTCTGTTGGGGAACATTAATAATGGGAAGAGGCTTTGCATTTGTCGGGATAAGAGGCTATAGGAAATTTCTGTATCTTCTGTTCAACTTTGCTATGAACCTAAACTGCTCTTAAAAATAGCCTTTAAAAATAGTACTATAGGAAAAGCATGATACCCTTCAGAGTTCAATAAAATGTCAAAGGAACAGACAGCTGAATGAATACTGGAATGCTTTTCTCTACGCTCCTTGCCTGCCAACACTTTAGATATCCTTTCACATCACTTTCCCAACATGCAGGCAGGCATAATCCCTTCTCCTCCCGCGATCCCATCACCAAGAGACAGAGTGCGAGTGAGCATCTGAATAAACCTGGGGGAGCTTGTTAAAACACAGATTTCTTGCCCCTGCCAGGATTTCTAGATTCTGATTCTGGAGCCTACAAATTTCTCTCTCTCACATTCTCCCAGATGATGCTGACACCATACTTAGAATGGCACCGTTATGGTTCATTCTGCATGTGGCTGGCTCCTGTAAGACCGAGAGCTCAACAAGGAATGTCATCCAGCACATATTAGACAATGAATGCATGTCTTACCTTTTTTTGCTTGTTTTTATCAGCCTCGTCCTGTAAGTCTTTCTGGGCCATTTGCATGAGTTTCATGCGAAAGTCCGTTTCTTCTTTGTGCTCCTGCTGAAGACGCTCTATCTTCTCTTGGAGGGCTTTTTGCAAAGTGTTCCTAAGTTTCTGTTTTGACCTCTGTTTCTTTAGCTTATCCTGCTCATCCTCATATTTCACCTGAGCTCTGTCATTTTCCTAAAGCAGAACAATAAAGAAGATAATTCAGTACAGTTGGACAAAACAAATAAATGTGTTTCATATACATACCTAGAATTAGAAGGACTATAAGAAATAAAACTTGCCTTCTCATGCTGAACCAACAGTAAGGCTTTGTGAAATTGCTGTGTAATTATAAAGTAATAGTTGTCAAGTTCAAAATGCAGAAATGTATAAAGATAAATCACCTTTAAACCTAGTTCCCATCACTCAGCACCCCTCTCAACATTTCAGTGGATTGGCCTTCTACACTTTACTCTTCTTTGCCATCTGCACATCTAGATGTGGGTGCTTTATTAAACAGCAATAAGAGTTCAAAATGGAAATGTACCTATCAGCTAAATACACAGAACCAAATTTTAAGCATTATGTTCTTTAAAGTATTCCCCCATTCCTCTCATTTTCTTAGCTTTTGGCTGGCTTGATTGCCTGGCCAAACAGGCAGTTTTAACTGGGCACCAATGCTATTGGGCATTGTGATTTTAGTAGAAAATGTGTGACATTAGTCCTCTTGCCAGAGGCAGCTGAACTCTCCTGAAGGGATAAGTATTTGTCCAGCTGGGATAGTAGATGACGTAGTAATCAGTAGGGTGAAGGGGGGACGACGGGACGGACTGTTAAAGTTTGAGAGACCTGAAAGTAGTTTGCCATGTTTTGGCTTCACCAGGATAATTTTAATCTTACCTGCTGTGCAATGTAATGAATTTATTGCACCCCTTTCGATCTTTCGATCTCAAGTGAATAATAAATACATAGTCCTTCTTTCTAAAAAAAAGACTTATAACAACCGTATTTGGGTTCTGATTTAACTATCAAATAAGTTAGACAATGATGGTGTAATGCTGATTCATTCACAGCAGATGGTTAATGCTGTGTTGGCTGCTGTCATTGTTTTATTAGACAGCCTAAGGGAAAAGAGGGCAGTGCCCCGGCCAAAGAGGTGCTACATGTTTCAACCGCACACTAGTTGAAAATGCTGCAGTAGAGGCAGCAATCTTGTTGGAACTAAATTATTGATACTGGTCATAGCTGTTCCACAGCATTTCTTCATAGGATTTGGAAACTGTCAATTTATATATCATATAGCAAAGTACAGGGGATGTTACCAAATTGCCACTAGCCCTCCATTGCACTGCCAATGATTATCCCATTTCACCCTCCCAAAAAAGGCAGGTGCATTTTTCCCCCTTTCGAAGATAAAGAAATTGAGCCACCGTAGCGCAGTAACTTGCTCTCTGCTGGGCCTGGAAATCCAAAGCTCTGATCATGTTGCCCCGTGAACTGGCCAAGGGCATTGAGCAACCTGTGCAGTCAGGCCTGCAGACCGTCCTGTAACCACGGAGTGACCAGCCCGTGGCGGGCATGCTAAAGGCTCACCACAAGGCGCGCCTCCTCTTCCTTCAGCTGCTGCGCCGCCTGCCTTCGCGCGTTAATTTCCATGACCTGGGCATTCAGCCCCAGCCGCGTGTTCTCTTCTAGCTTTTTCTGTCTCTCCGCCTCTTCAGCTCCCCGCCTTTCCTTGGCTAACCGGTCTTCCTCCCAGAGCTTACAGAACATCTGCTCTTCCACCAGTTTTTGCCTTTTCAGCTCCTCATTAAACGCAACCTGTGCTTTCCGCTCCTCACACACCCTCTTCTCGTGGAGAGACTGCAACTGAGTGCGGAACTCCTCACAGCGTTCCCTGAAGGGAGAATTTTAAAGACAAAACCTTCATGAGACATGGCTCTATTTAGGCACTATCTGTACAGTCAGATCCTGAAATAGAAAAAGTCGAAGATCTGGATGTAGGCCCTACGAGCAAACGTGTGATGAGTGGCAGGGAGAGAGGCATCATGATGTCACAGACAAAATATGAGCACTGGGTCAGACAGAGCAGGCTTTGAATGCAGTTTTGACATTTCCTGTGTGACCTTGGGTTGGAAACTTGACCTATCTGAGCTTTTTTTATTTTTTATTTTTTTTTAACACTTTTAAGGTTCTGGTAAGGAACAGAAGTAACAGATGTAAATGCCTGGTAACTAATAAGAGTGCAATAACTGGTTACTATGATTATTACTACAGAGAAAATACAAGAGAGATGGGCCCCTACAATATTACAAGTGGATGAGGCTTTGGTAGGAAGAGACCCCACATGCACTTTCAAGGAAAGGTCATCTGTGACCGCATAGATGAAGGCTTCCCCATCTCCCTGGGCTCCGGGCAGGGCACCCGTCCACTGAAGGGGTTTCTCCTGAGCTGCCTTTGTCACCCAGGCTATGTCACCATTCAAGAAAACACGCTCTCACCATAAGTGCCCTTTCTTTCCGTCTTGGTTATTCAAATTTCTTCAAAAGTTCTTAAGTGAGCCCTGTGATGTGCATCAATGTCTACACTTCAGAATTACTCCGGATATTTTCAAAATCCTACACCCCACTTCTTTTGTCCCTCCTCCCAGACCAGACTAGGCAAATCAGAACACCTGGGGTGGACACAGGCCTCTGCAGCTTGTCGGAGCATCCAGGAGGTTCTGGCATCCAGCCAAGTGAGGAGGCCCTCTGACTAAAGGCAATGCTTATAAACATCAAGTCTTCCTGCTTTCAAAATAAAATTCAGCACCAAGAAGCTGAAGTTTGAGAATGGGCTCAATATAGAACTTCTGATGACATTTTACTACTAAGACTGAAAGGAAGGATGAAGTCTAAACTCTTATTGCAAGAGTGGTCAATACCTCTATTTTAATAAAAATAATCACTGATAAAAAGGGAAACCTTTTTGTTTGTGAGTGCTTTACATGGTACTTTCACACATAAAATCTTGTATCATCCTCATAAGTATCTTATAACTCAAATGTAGGAGTAAGAATTACCTCCATGTTAGAGTTAACTCAGGGAGCCTAAGTGTCTTTCCAATAATATTGGCAGCACTTACTGATTTTTAATTTGCAGGCTTTATTCTAAGCACATTACAGGTATGGACTTTTATCATCTTCATTACCACCAATGTTACAGTGAACATTACTGCAAGTTCATTTTCATCATTATGATCAGCCCCCATTTACAGATGAGAAAGAGGAGGCACAGAGCAGTTAAGCATTATAGGTAAAGCATTCATACATTTCATATGTGGTAGAGCTGGGAGTGAAAACCTGGCAGGCTAGCCCTTGAGTTTAGGTTCTTTGGTACCTCATTGTAAGAGTACATATATGTAAAGTGCTTAAAACAATGCCTGAACAGTCACTGACAGAGACAAGTGTTCTAACCATGCATCCTAGGGTGTTTAACAAAAACACCCAAAGCAAAACAAAGCTCAAAACTTTCTACTTTAATCTGGGGTTCAATCGTTCATTGTGTATAAATACAGAACACCTAAAAGAAAATCACAATGTACCAAGAGCATGCTCCATAAAAGAAGTATTGGATAAACTGGGTTTCATCAAAAGTAAAATCTTTTTCTCTGTGAAACAGAATAAAACAAAACAAGCTACAGACTACAAAAAAAATATTTCCAAATCATATATCCTGCATAAACGACTCATATCCAGAATAAATAAAAACTTAATAGCTAATCCAATTAGAAAATGGGCAAAAGAAATGAAGAGACATTTGACAAAGAGGATGATCTACAGATGGCAAATAAGTACATGAACAACTGTTAGGGAAATTACCAGCCTTTAGGGAAATATATGAATGCCCCATTGAAATTCACTTATTAGTGTCACCTTGTCCCTCACAGCATCTTCTCAGCAGCCAGCAGGGAATGTCCAAATCCAACCAAGGACAGGAGATGAGACTAAACTTCAGAAAGGCCAGATAATCCAAGTCTAATTCTGTCTTGGTTACTACAAACTTGAAAATTTAATAAAATGACTATCTGTGAAACTCAAGTTACCCATCTTCAAGATGGGGAGTAGCAAGTTCCTTCTGGTGATATGCATAACTGCTCTGGTTTTCCTCACTGCCCTTCTTTAGCAGCTCCAAACCCTAAAACTTCCCATTCCCTCTAGTTTTAGCAGTTTAATTTACTTTGTTAGCAGCTCTATCTGCAATATGTAGGCACTAGTCATTGCAATAGCTGACTTCTCTTTTGGGCCTCTACTGGGAAGATGCAAGACAGTTTATATGGTTAATAGCAACTTCATGGCAAAAAGAGAAGAGATGGCAAAAGCTTTATCTCTGAACCATGTCTTGCCATAGCTGGTTTGGCTCAGTGGATAGAGTATTGGCCCATGGACTGAAGGGTCTCAGATTTGATTCCTGGTCAAGGGTACGTACGTCAGTTGCAGGATCAATCCCCAGCCCTAGTCAGGGTGTAGGCAGGAGGCCACAAATTGATGTGTGTCTCCCACATCGACGATATTTCTATCTCTGTCTCTCCCCATCCCTTCCATTAGCTCTAAAAATCAATGGAAAAATGTCCTCGGGTGAGGATAAACAACAACAAAAAGAACCATGTCTTGGTCCCTCCACATGCTTGGTTTTGCTTCTTTCTCACATCTGTTGACCTTTGGATATCTCATCTATTCAGATTTCTTGCGCTGTGAAAAAAGAACTCATATATTCCTTCTGTATTCTACCATACTTTATTTATTTTTTTAAAATCAATCTTTATTGTTCATATTATTACAAAGGTTCCTCATTTCTCCGCACCCTCCCCATCCCCCATTGTCCTCATCCATAGGTGCAGTTTATGTTCAGTCTCTTCTTCCCTCCCTTTCCCCAATAGTAAATCCCTTTTCAGATAGTAAATCAGTTACTTAGCATTTTCTCATATCAATAATACCTCCACTGTATTCTACCATACTTTAAACTCAGAGTTTGCTTTTTACTTTATCTTGGGCTATAAGCAATAATACTGTATATTATACTCGGAATTTGTTGAGAGTAACTATTAAGAGTACTTAACGTAAAACAAAAAAAACCCTTAGTGCCTGCATTTTGCAATGATGTGTATATAATTACCAAGACTTAAAGGTACAACTACTGTCTATAACCTCTTAAAACTATACTCTACTGTACATTAACAATCTTAAACCTTTTTAAATACACATATTTTGTGTGTCTGTTTTTCTGAGATCATTACCTGAATTGCTGGTCTAGCTTTTCAGCCACAAAATCTTGCCTCTCTTTTTCTTTCTTCTCCTTTAAATATCTGGTTTTCACTTTCATTTTTTCTTTTCTCTCTTCAATTGTTTCTTCTTTCAATTGCATTTCAGTAAAATACTCATTTTCTTCTGCTGCTAAAAGTTCACGGAGCCTGAAACAAAATGACAAAAATAAAAAATTTAAATTAAAACTGTGATGCCACATACATCATTTTACAATTTTGTATGCCACACACATCATTTTAAATTAAAAAAATTTAAATTAAAACTGTGATGCCACATACATCATTTTACAAATTTATTTTTATTTTGTTAAATTTTATTTCACAAGTTCATGTTTAATCATACATTTCACGAGAAGGGAAAGATCATTGCATTCTTCCATAAAATAAAGCAAGTTGTCATTTAAAGCAACAAAGAGAGCTCAGTGGTTGAACGTCAACCTATGAGCCAGTGTTGCTCAGTGGTTGAGCGTCAACCTATGAACAAGGATGTCACGATTCAATTCCTGGTCAGGGCACATGCCTGAGTTCTGGACTCTATTCCTGATGGGGACTTGCAGGAGGCAGCTGATTGGTGATACTCTCTCATCGTTGATATATCTCTCTCTCTCCTTTCTCCCTTGCCCTTCCTCTCTGAAATCAACAAAAACTTACTAAAAATTAAAGCACTTATCTGTGCCAGGTTTTATTTGATCACATATAGATGTGATATGAAATGTATATCTTTAACAAAAGGAAAAATGAGATTTTAATTAAAGTAACAAAATTTAAAACAATTATTATTTTGCTATCATGATAATGCCGGTGATTATAAGTAAAAATACTTAGTTATTGATTTGGCAGGAATATGAATATCTCAGCCATGATTCTTACTATAACATTTACTTGATTTTTTTGACTGGTCAATCTCAAGTAGTTTCAGGATTATTTCATCGTCTGGGTCGTCAGGCTTGTGAGCCTTACTTGTTTCGTCTTTCTTCAGTGTTGATGAGAAATCCTTGCATGGCATCCTTTATTCTCGTTTTCACAAGACTGTCCACAAATCTGCGGTCATTGCGCTGGAACCAGTCAACTTTCAAGCGATGCCGCTCTAAGGACTTAATGGAATTCAAAATAGCATGATGCTTCTGATAGCTGCGTAGGATTCTCTCCAGCTGTTGGTCAGCCTTTTGGCCTTCGGGAGGCTTGGCTCTCTAAAACAAAGAACAACTATCACTTTTGATAGATCCAAAATCAACAGCATATTTTCAATTAATCATGATCTCCACCAATACTCAGACTAAATAAAACTTGGTACTATATAAGTTCAAGTGGCTAAAGTGTAACTTGCTTGATTCTTTGAGCCTGTACTTGAGATCAAAGCCGTCTAAAATATTTCTCAAGTGCCATTTGAATAAAAGTTCATAGAATTATACAGTAAAAAAATGTGAATGGGATGCCTGAGATTATCTAGTCAAATCAGAGACATCAAATGATGTGCTCAAGGTGCTTCAAATAGAGCAGACCTGGATAGACCAAGAATTAGAGATCTTCTGACTTTTTACCTTGATCTTGCCACTCAGTATTCTACTGTTTCTCTCGGCAAACAACATAGTTACCACCACCAAAACACTTTCAGTTAAAAGAGGCTACCATGTGGCTATGACCAATACCTTATGGTTAGAGCATAGTCCCCACATGCTAAGACTGCAGGTTTGATCTCGAGCCATGGCACATAGAAGAAGAAACTAATGAATGTATAAATAAGTTACCAACAACAAATCTCTCTCTCTCTCAAAAATCAATTTAAAAAATTTATAAGAGGCTGCTACCTAAGTACAGGTGATCCTTGAACAAAAAAGGAGCTAGGAGCATACAAAGTCAAAAAATTCACCTATAACTTTTTTTAAAAAATATATACTTTATTGATTTTTTACAGAGAGAAAGGGAGAAGGATAGAGAGTTATAAACATCAACAAGAAAGAATCATCGATAAGCTGCCTCTTGCACACCCCCTGCTGGGGATGTGCCCGCAACCAAGGTACATGCTCTTGACTGGAATCGAACCTGGGACCATTCAGTCCGCAGGCCAACGCTCTATCCACTGAGCCAAACCAGTTTTGGCACCTATAATTTTTGACTTCCCCAAAACTTAAGTTGTTCCTTGGTATCCACAGGTGAATGATTCCAGGACCACCACCACCACCACCACCCCTACCAAAATCTGTGAACGTTAGTCCACTATAAAAATATTTAAAAAATAGATCAATGCATAGTCAGCTCTCTGCATCTCTGGACTCCAAACTGTCAATCAAAAATAGTACAGCCCTGACTGGTTTGTCTCAGTAGGTAGAGCATCAGCCCGTGGTCCCTGGTTCAGTTCCAATCAGGGGCATGTACCTTGGTGCAGGCATATCCCCAGTGGGGACTATGCAGGAGGCCGCTGATCGATGTTCCTCTCTCATCGATGTTTCTAATTCTCTATCCCTCTCCCTTCCTCTCTGTAAAAAAAAAAAAAAAAAAAAAAAAAAAAAAAAAGATAGAACAGGGCCCAGCTGGTTTGGCTCATTGGTTGAGCATTTACCCATGCACCAAGAAGTCACCAGTTTGATTCCCAGTTAGGGTACAAGCCCAGGTTGCTGGCTCAATCAGTGGGGGCATGCAGGAGGCAGCAATGGATATTTCTCTCTCTCTTCCTTTCTCTCTAAAATCAATGAAAACATTTTAAAAAAATAGCACAGGTATTTATTGAAAAAAATCCATGTATGAGTGAATATCATGCAATTCAAACCTATGTTGTTCAAGATCAATTATATATAGAATGTATATGAGATGAGTTGTGAGAAGGAAGAAAGGGTAGGAGAGAGGAGAGAGCTAAGGAAAGGTATAAAAGAAAAGCAAAACTGATGGTAGAACTTTATTTCTATTTCTATTGTGCCAGGAATTTAATGCAAGGCTATGCTCCTGACATTTTGGGTAACTTGTATTTCTGTAAATATATTCATTTTATACAAACATCCACTAAAAAGTTGGAAATGCATACACCATTTTGAACATATATTGATACATTTAATAAAATTGTATCCTTCATTATCTGATAGCATATCACATTCTATTGTTAACCTTTTATGGTTTCCTGCATGAGCAAGTTGTTTCTGCATTAGATAATAAGCAATTTAAAGGCAGAGATCAGACTTCTATGGGAGGGTAAACCTCCTAGGGTCATTGTATCTCCCACTTTGCCGTGCATGCAGGAGGAATTCAAGGAATGCCTCCATAATAGTTTAATTATACGTGGAAGTTTTCTAGCCTTTGGAAACACAAGAGCATGGACCTATGACCAAGCCAGCTTTCCAAGCATCAAACCCTCCTGTTACCATCCAGGCCTACAGGGACACTCTGTTACAGGAGAGTTTGCACAGAGGGGCTCTATAACCCCTGGCAACCGCTCACAGCCCAACACCCCTTCCACAGACAGCCGAATCACCTCCAGCCCAGACCCGGATTCCTGCTGCCTGACCCACTGCCTTTCCCAAGACACACACACACACACACACACACACACACACACACACACACACGGCAAATCGCAAGGAACGAGGACAGCCTTTGGGTGTCTTGGAGACTGAAATCCCTCAAGATCCCAAGTAGTAATTCTCCAAATACAGAATCTAAATATTGTAACTGACGCAGGGGAGGGGGAAGAGGGATGGAACACGAAGCGAAATTATGTTTTTTCGAAACTCAACCCCTTGTGTCAGCACCAGTCCCCCCCCCCCCCCCCCCCCCCCCCCCGAGAGCCCCCGCTGGAGACCAGACTGGGCTCCGCTGGGTCCGAAGTGCTGGAGGATGCAGAATGCAGCAGGGACCCGCACCCATGCCCTGCTTACCACCATCACCACTTTGGGAGTGGGGCCCTTAACCTCCCGCTGCACGATGCCAAACCGCTGGCTGTACATTTTCGAGGCCCCTCGGGATGGGGCGGCGGCGGTCGCAGTCCCCTAACGGTGGCGACCAGCGGAACCAGCTTCCGCGACGCAGATGTCAGGTTGCCATGGTGAGCCTCGCGGGGCAGGTGGGAAGGGCGGAAGTTGATCTTGTCACCCTGGTGACCATAGACGCGGGACTTGGGACTTCCTCTGGAAGCCGAGAAGCTGCGCGCGTAAGGGAGTGGGGGTCAGGGAAGGGAAAGGGGCCCTCAACAGGCCCTTGATTAGGTCTCCCGCGGACCTCGCCTTTTTCCTAGGGTTCATCAGAATAGAAAAAAGCCTCCTTTACCCGAAGTGAAGTTGAAGAGCTAGTAATATTCCAATTTATATCCTATAACCAGTCGGTCTAAAAGCACGAGAAAGGTTAGCGGACATTTCGTGGGAAGGTTATTAAATTTTGTGGCCATCCTAAGATAATCTGGTAACATAAATCATCACAAAACCTCCTTGTATATTTTTGCAGTTTTTTACAGTAATTTGCAAGGTATTTTTACACATAAGATGTTTGAGCCTCACAAATATCTTACAGGTTAACGCCGTGGTCAGCAAACTGCGACTAGAGAGCCACATGCAGCTCTTTGGCCCCTTGAGTGTGGCTCTTCCACAAAATACCGCGGCCTGGGAGAGTCTATTTTGAAGAAGTGGCGTTGGAAGTTTAAGTTTAAAAAATTTGGCTCTCAAAAGAAATTTCAATCGTTGTACTGTTGATACTTGGTTCTGTTGACTAATGAGTTTGCCGACCGCTGTGTTAATGGAGCAGCAGGTATTATCCTCATTTTACAGTAACGGCTAAGAGCCAAACTGCCTTGTCACCCTGCCTAACCAGTGATGATAAATCTGTTACTAATAAAATCTTATTACTCTGAGCACAAATTAAGAGTTAGACTCGGGGTACTCTAGGATGGGGGGCAGACTCGATGGGCTGGGAGTGCAGTGATAGGAATGGCTGAGTCAAGGGTCACATTGGACCAAAGTCAGGATGTGTGATTAAATGTGCAAGGAAATCAGGCTCTGAGTATCCGGATCCCAGGGAATCTGGAAGGGGCCCTCAGCACAGGCAGGGACCACTGTTGTATTTCCAGCCAGGAGCAATGTAGTCAATACTTAAAACCAACTAAGAATATTTTGCTGCTCTCACTCTAAAGTGGGGTAGACACAGAACACTAGAATATATAGATTACAGAAAAAAAAATCAATACCTAGCAGGTTACTGCCGTGTTGTAACAATAACCAAAGCACAATTATTGTGCATACCATTTTTAAGGCTGCAATTTACTGTAAATTTACATTCCTTAATCACTTGTAATCCACCCACTTCAGATTTTGTATATGGTACTTTTCTAGATTTGGATTCCAATTCCTGAATTGCTGGTTCAGCTTTTCAGCCACAAATTTTTCTTCTCTTTTAATAATCTTTTAAAATATTTTTTTCCTATGCTTCTTCTTTCAATTGCAGTTCAGTAAAATACTCATTTTCATTTACTGCTAAGAGTTTATGTAGCCTGAAACAAACAGAGAAAGAAAGAAGTTAGATGGTCGTCTCGGATCCCTGGACCGAGTCCTGAGGGACAGCTAGTTCCTTGACCTTTCAGTCCCACGGGTGTCTGGTCACCCGCTGGTCTCCGGACACCAAATCCTTGGGGAGGAAAGGAGGGAATGAAAACACCCTCGGCCAGGCGTGGGCGTTTGGGAAAAGCAGCCTGAGGCACCCCCAAGGTCGTAGAGGCTGGAGGATCCGGTCGAAATGAGTTTTGGTGACAGGGGGAAGCTACCCCTGGGTGACACCCGACTGCCCTGGAACGTCCCAAGCGTTGGTCCTGAGCTTGCTGTGCCATACCCTCATCAGAGGCAAGCCCCGCAATTTTACTCCAGTTCGGTTTTGCCTGTTTTACCACAATTTGAATCAATTCCCCTATTCGTGCGGAGGCCACGCCCCTAGTCCGCCAGGTCCTGTAGGGGTGAGGGGCAGAGATCCTGGGGCTCAGGTAGGATGGTGGTGGTCCCACCACTCAGGCGGGCCTATTCCAAGGGTGGAGGGGCTGGGCTTGGCACGGTGAGACTGGGCATTCAGCCAAACCCCAAGAGAGACCTACTAGGAATTACTTGCCCAAGGTCCTTGGTCAGAACCTGACCTTTATCTTGCCACCCACTATCCCACTTTCTCAGAGGCAGTCAACGCTGTTACCATCAACATGACATTCCCAGAAGACACACTAAATATATGAATCAGTAAATGGAACAACAAAAATCGTTTAAAAATAATTTTAAAATAGAACAGCTTAGAGACAAAAACTATATTATTTCCAATTTCTATTGGGCCCCAACAAGGTTCATACAAGGGCTATCCTCTTGATAGTTTTCTGAATTCTACAAATTCCATGATAGTTGGAAATCCATTCACCATTTGCAATACATATTGATGTATTTAATAAAATTGCGTGTACTCTATCTTTTTCATTCCTGTACCCAATATTAAGTTCAGTGCCTACCACAGGCCAGGTTCTCAATAGTGACGGAGCAGAGACCCACATTTCTACTGGGTGGATTTGACGGAATTTCTGTATTGCTGGGTCACCATGAAATCCATGGTCTTCCTTCCACCACTTTGCATTTCCAGCAATGTAGCTTTATGGAGTTATCCTCAGGTAAGTAGTGAGACCCTTTGGAGCGGATTCATGACAGGCTGGTTTTGTGATGCATCACCTTGACTAGCCTAGATTTCCCAGAACTCCCTTCCCCATATGCTTCCGGTTAGAATGGGCTACAAGAAACATTTTATGTGCTAACTGCAGGGAGAAGTGAAACAGCAGCATGTTGTTTTTATGCTTTGAAAGTTGGTGCAAAAGCACCAGGCACTGTTGCAGTTCACACGCTGTCATTTATCTGCTGGTTAGCCTCCTAGGTGTGGAGGGACAGGTCTGCAGCCGCTCCACCTCCCCAGGATCCTCCTTCAGCTTCTCAAATTCCTAGGGAGATGCGTATTTAACTCTGCGGTGAAGGGCACCAGTTTCTTCTGCAGGACACCCACATCATCGAAGTTGGAGGTGGTGAGTGACATGGGTTCCAGGCCATCTGCAGGGGGGGTCCAGCTTGTGCTTGTGGGCGCCAATGTGTCCTCGGTCTCCCACATTTACATCCATCTTCCCTTCCCGATTGCCTGCCCTGCAGACTTCAAGCTCCAGCATTAGATGCAAAGACAACAGCCTTAAAGAGACTGTTTAACCAGCTCCCACAATTACGTATGGTTAAATGCCTATAAACCCCTTAATATACATATATATACATATATACATATATATATATAAATATACATACATACATACATATATATATAAAATCTTTTTATCAGTGGTGCTGCTTTTCTAATTGTACCCTGATACACACAATAACCAGATTCTTATTTCATCAGTCAGAATACCAATCAAATCAATTTCACATAGGACATCATTGTCAAAATTACCAGAATACTAGGGTGGCTGGATCCTGGGAGGAGCAAAACAATAGCAGAAAATTATCCAGTCGACTCTGGCTGAAGTAGGTGGGACAAGGCTAAGAAAGGGGTGGAAGAGGGCTGTATCATGAGTTACAATAGGGAAATAGCTAATCTACCTCTGAGTCATCCAAAGCTGCAAGGCTGGAACTAGATTAAGGCAAGGGATGCACAAAAGCTACAAAATGTAAGGGGGCACACACTCAGTCCTGACCTTGTAAAGCTGGCTAAGTGATGATCCCATGTCTAATCACTTTTAGCACTATGCAAAATATTAGACAGTGAGGCAAGCTGAGCCAAGACTGGCCCTTCGACAGGACTTGAAGCAGAAACTCATACTCCTTGTAGATGGGCTAAGAGCAGAAACCAAGCACAACTGTCAAGGGGCAGGGGGCACAAGTGGTCAAGAAAGATGAGCCAAGCTGACAGCTCTACTTCGAAGACTGCTTTGGCTGAAGAGAAGGAGGAAAACACAAAATGGACAGCAGCCAGTGTGGAAAGATACTTTAGGATTTGAGGAAGCTTATGTAACACCAGAGACCTGGAAAGAACCCAGTCTCTGGATGCACAGGTGCTCTAACAAGGAGACCCAAGCACACAGCCTTGGCACTCCCTAGACCAGTGGTCGGCAAACTTATTAGTCAACACAACCAAATATCAACAGTACAACGATTGAAATTTGAGAGCCAAAATTTTTAAACTTCAACTTCTTCTAATGCCACTTCTTCAAAATAGACTGGCCCAGGCCGTGTATTTTGTGGAAGAGCCACACTCAATGGGCCAAAGAGCCGTATGTGGCTCCTGAGCGCAGTTTGCCGACCATGGCCCTAGACCACGCTAGAGACATCAGTGTAAAGGATTTGCTATAATGCTTAAAATTAATCCACCTTTTTTTTTGAATTGCTGAAAACTTGTTACTATATTATTACACATTGCTGAACTCAGGATTACAGTTTATAGGTTAATGGCTTAAAGGACAAGGCTTTTACATTAATTAATGGTTTAATTCTAGACTCTATCAATACTAGCTGTTTGACATTGGACAAGTTAATTTCTAAGTGTGTCTTTCCATCTGCAAAAATGGGCAAAATCAGTCTTTCTGAAAAGACCATTCTGAGAAATAAACTGGGTCCCTAAGGAAGAATCACCAGATTGCAGTTCCTTTCCTTATTTATTCACATTACATTTTCAATTGCTGTCTCCCTGAGGAAATGTTTAGAGACACTGCCAGGTCTCACCCAGAAGCCACGTCATGTTTATGAAGATGGCTTGTTTAGCTTGTTTATGGTGGCTCTACTTCTACCCCCAGCCCCAATCCCAACTCCTCAAACTTCTTGTCATGTTCAGGCTTCTGGGATTTGCACCATTTGGAACAGATGCACCAACTTTCTACTTTCTCTTCCTTTCTTTCTTCCTTCCTTCCTCTATAAGCTCAAAGGACTGAACAGTCCTGCTCCTCTGGTTTGGTGGTGTTTCCAGTTCCCACTGACTCCTACACAAGCCCTGGCAATCGCTTTAAGGTCCAGCCTCTGAATAGGTCAGTGTTGTCTCTCATAAAGCCGGTCTGTAAATTTCACCTTGAATCCTACAGTCTGCAGAAGCCTCCAGTCTACTGCTTTCTAGTTCCAGGTTTTTTAAGGTCCTTGGACCTAGAGAAGAGGGAGCAGGTCTGCATGTTGAAGGTTGTTTGCTATGTACAAAATGGAGCATCACAAAACCATTTCCTACTCTTCTTCCCTTAATTATTCCTCTCTCTCTTCTAAAATCTTCCATTACAAACAGCACATCACTCCCTTCTATGTTATATGTAATGGTTTCATGCACAGGGAAACTGTTTCCCCAGATTATAAGCTCCCTGAAGGCAGGAATACTCCTGAAAGACGAACGTTCCATGGTCATTGTATTCACTGCTGTTATCACCCACACTGCAGTGTATCCAGCAGGGACTTAATCAGTAGCTCTGTAATTGCCCAAGTGCAGATGGAGGGACTTCTGGCCTGCAGAAACTAGTTTGTAGGAACCAAAGAATCCAGGTGCTGAAGTCAATAGTTGACGTTGTCTATGTCTGGGGCTCTATGTGGGGCCTGTCAGCTTTCTGCAGAAAGCAGCATTCCCTGTCCTCTCACTATCTCAGTCCTTACAGGCACCTAGCCTTCATCCTGTTGCCAGGCCTGCAGGGAGAGTTCTGAATAGCAGATGAAACTGTTAATAACCTCCACAGACTCAGGCCCAGGCCCTGGAAAGGCTCAAGAAACATGGCCTAACCCCGTCCAGAAGGTTCAGGTCTAGTCCAAGATCACACACTTGTGTGTCGACCCAGATCTCCTGCTCATCCACGACTATCCAGCCCACCTGGACATTTCTGGGAGACTCTAAAGGCATTGAAGACCCCAAATGATGATTCTCTGAGTACAAATTTAAAGTCTGACTCTTGCTGGTTTTTTCTTAAGGGCCAGGCTTTACTTCCTTTTTTCTTGCTAATCTCATCACAGGACAACAAATCCTCTCCCATAACCCCCTTCCCCCCTCCGACCCTCCCCAAGAGGAGCCCTGACCTGGACCTCAGGAAATCTCTAGGCCTACACATACCTCCTCACTGATCATGATCAATACAGTGTGGGGCCTTTACCTCCTACTGCACCATGCCAAAATACTCAAGACTCCAAGGCCCATATCTGAACCCACCCCATCCCCACCCATCACTATACGGGGCACACCTTGGCAACCAGACTGCTGTGTCCCGAAGACGGGTTCCACCCAGGCTGAAAATCTCCGTGATCTGGGGAAGAATTAACATCATGGGTCAACATGGCTGGCTAGGTTAAAAGTAAGTCAGGGCAGGGTGCGGTGTCCCTGAGCACTGACCACTGGCGTGCCAGCCCCTCGTGCCTGCTCCTTTGGGGCTGAATCAGAGGCGGAGTCATCCTTGCTCTTCTCTTTTTCCTCCTCAGAGTCAGGTGGCTCTTGCTTCACAACTGGCAGGCCTGAGTCTACTGCCTGGGAGAGGTGGGAAATAGGCAACAGTCAGAAAAGCAAGGTTGGCCTAAGGAAAGAGTATCTTATCAGCCAACCTGTCACCGTGCTCATAAACCCTTCTGTCACACTTCAGCACAGGGAAACCATCTGTCTAAAATGTTTCCCATTCCCCTCAGATTTCCATTTTTCTATTAGCTGGGCAGCAAGGCAGGCAAAGCTAGTTGCCTGGGGAAGGCAGAGTAATTCTGTGGAAAGGCTGCAATCAGCATACCCATTGCTCTGCTCAAAGAACCACCATCACGGCTCACCATCACTCAGCTCACAGATCACCCATCACTGAGCCCCACCTTGCTGGGGCAGCCACGCAGCAATACGGGAGAAGTCAGGATGGCTCTGCCTGGTGTCCAGTCTTCCTGAGCATCCACTTTCTCTTGCTTCACCTGGGATAAGACCACAACCCAACTCAGGCCAGGGCACTGGGCCCGCTGTGTGAAGGAGGATTGCAGCAGACTTGGTCCCAGCTTCCTGGAACAAGGCTGGACAGGGTTGGGAAGGGTAGGTTGAGGTGGGGCCCTCACCTGCAACAGGGGTTCTGTGGAAGCTGGGGCAGGGCCAGGTACCTGCACAGGACTGCTTGCACCCTCCCGTAAGAACACAAGGTCAGTGCCAGGCGGGGGCAACACAAAGCCATTGCCTGTTTCCTGTTTCACTGGAGTCTGGGCTTGGTTTGTTCGGACTGTGGGCGTAACCGAGGGGGTCTTCAAGGAATGGCCTACACGGGGCCGTCGAGTAGATCCTGGCCTCTTTCGACGAGGGATAGGTGGGGGTGACGCTGCCCCATCCTCAGACCCTGCCCAGACATTTGGCAGCAGGCGCTTCTGTGAGAAGAGGTCGGGTGTTATGGTCACCTGACACAGTGACCTGACCACACTACCCTGCCCTGGCCAACAAGCCTGCTGATCCCCCGAACAGTATCAGCAGAAAATCTGCTTATATATGAGCCCCTTATCACTGAGCCTGCTTGTCTCCTGTTACCAGTGCCAATGCTACCCAAATTACTCATTTACATTGGCTCGATGTCTAACTAATCCTGGACCAAACCCATTGCCCTACTCACCCCTCTGAAGCTGCAAGACCCATCTGGCTCATCCCACCCACCACCCCCAGGCAATGGAGGATCCAGCCTAACCTAATGTGCCCACCTGACCCTTCCTGCCTTACCCACCATGGCAAACTGCAGGCACTGGCGCCAACGACACTTCTGGCGCTTCTGGTTACTGCCTCCAAATTTGGGCTTGTCGCAGCAGAAGTCACAGTGGCCACAGTCCATCCGCCGCTGGCAGGCTGCACAGGCCCCACACTTTCGGTTCTGCCGGCGGTTTGTGTAAGGTTGCTGGGGACAGGGGAAAAAGGGTACTGTCGTTAAGACTAGTACAATACTAGTACAGTTCCTGTTGTTCTTCCACTAGCCCCGTGGGAGGGACCTAGACACACAGTAGTTTTAGCCTGACGCCCAATACTCACACATCAGGCACTGTCACTGTACCAAATACCTCTCGATACTATTAGCATTGTGGTTGCTCCAACACAGTGTCCATTACTCCATCTGCTAGTCCCCACTAGCTACCAAGACAAGGTCTTTGACCTCCCCACCTCTGGTAGGATTCTGCTGACCCTCTATTAGTACCTACCACACCTGCTGCGTCTACTCACCCTATGTGAACTCGGTCATCGTGGCAGCTTTTTCTCTTTTAGCCCCACCAGAATGTTACTTCACGTGGCATTAGGTACTATCACTGCACCTGTTGATCCCATATTAGTCTCTCCCCATTGTCTGCTTATCCCATACTGGTACCCCTTACTGTGCCTTGCTCTTCCCCTGTTCGGCCCATTGCAGCATGTGCTTCTTTGGGCTTAACCAAGTGCCTTAGGAGAGTCTAGACCTGCCCAGGTAAGTTGGGGCCACTCACTAGCTCGTCCTCGTCTACACAGTAATAGATGAACTCAGCAGGTGATGAGGGGCCCAGGACTCTGGGGTGCTGCAGAGGCAAATGGGGTGGGGTCATGTTAAGTTCTGGGTAAGATTAGGGTTGTGCCTTCCCCCGCCCTCTAGGGCCTCACCAGCGCTGGGGTCTTTGGAGGCTGAGGTGGGGGAAGTGGAGGTAGTGGCTGGGTTCTGGAACGCCGCCGGGCAGCCATCTTGGAGTCGCAGCCTCCCCTGCGGCGGCTACGCTTACCCTAGGAGAAAGCCAAAGAAGTAGATTAGTTTAGGCATGGTGGCACCAGGCAGACAGGACCCTCCCTCCCCACCCCCCGCCCCCAAGGAATGCAGAAAGCATGCGTGGGACAGACAGACATTGTGGGATGGGGCACTCACAGCAGGGGGAGCCACAGCTAGGGGAGGGCGTCGTTGACATCGTTGATGACGGCGACGCAGGCGATGGGCAAGATGCTGGCAGACAGGGCAGGTAGGTAGGGCCAGGAAGGTGAGAGAAGGGGAAAGGAGAAAAGAAGACGTGAGGTGGGCAAGGCCAGGTTGGGAGGAAGCAGCAGCAAGTTTAATAGCAGAATGAGCTCTGCCCAGCCCTGGCCCCACCAGCACCGGCCCCTCCAGCCTGACTCACTCGTAGACAGCGCCGCTGGATGCACCTCCACTGGCGCCTGAGACCAGGGCGGGGAGGGCGAAGGCAGACTCGGCAACGGCCACAGTCCTCTCGGGTCTGACAGCCCCGGCACACTCCACACCCTCGGCTCTGTTGGGGGGCCAGAGGCATGATGCACGGGGCTAGAGCTAGGAGGGCCAGGGCTAGGGCTAGCCTTGGGCCCACCCCATCTGCCCAGCTCACCTTTTCCACAATCCTGAGGCACCGTCTCCGCTCACACTTGCAGAATAGCCCCGAGGCCACATCATGGGGCAGCTGCAGAAGGCAGGTGGAACAGGCCCCGCAGTCCTCGGTTACCCGACAGGCTGCACACTCTCCACAGCCCACACGCTGCACGGAATGGGTGGGGCACGGTCACAGACTTAGGCAAAGTGACTCCAGGAGCACTGTCCTCAAGAGTCTGCTGATCCTACATTAGCTCCCATCACCATGTCTGCTAGTCCCCCATTTGCTTCATCACTGTATCTGATAACTACTGATTAGTCAACATCATTGAGGCCTTCACAATGTCTACCATTCCCATTAACCTCATCCACTAACATCCTATTAACACCCATTCCAGTCTGCTGGCTGTACTACATGGATCCATCACCATTCCTTCAGACCTCCACTAGCTCCCATTACATCTTGCTCCCACCATCCACTTGTGAGGAGGAGGTAGGTTATGCTTACCTTAAACATCCTCTGCTCCCGGTTGAAAGCAATTCTCTGTGCTGGGGGGAAGATAAGAAAAGATGAGGAAAGGGAGCATTAGAAATTTGATCTCATCCAATGCCTCTGCCCTGCCATTCACCATTCAATATCCAGCCTGACACTGGTGACTAGATTGACACCAGAACTATTCCAGCTCCTATCTCCTCCGGTAACAGGACCCACTCACCTCTGCAGTCCTTGCACAATGTCTTGAGCCGCTGCCTTCCGGTCCCATCCCCTGAGAAGCTGATTCCACAGTTCTCACAGTGCCTGGGATAGGAATCATGAGTGTGGGGCCCTGAGCACACCCCCAACCACAACCCTCACCCCTTTGGCTCACGTTAGGCCAGCACTCACCCAGGTGCAGGGAGCGACGCTGGGGCCGTGTCAGCATCAGCCTTGGTTTTAGCCCCTGGGACCTCCTTTCTAACCTCAACCCTCTTGGGTCCAACCTGACATTTTCGAGCTTTAACTGGCTTCGAAGGCTTCTTCCTCTTCCTTCCAGGGAGAGCCAAGTTTTGGACCTGGAAGAGCAAGGGCAGGAAGAATGTAGATCAGTGGGTGGGTTTTAGGTGGCTCAGCCCCCCTGGCATCTGGGTACCCCACACTGTGTAGCACCTTGGGGGCTGGATAGCACAGGATGCCTTGTTTGAAGTCGAAGAGGCTGAGGTCGCACGAAGGGCCAAGGTATCGGATCAGCTCAACTTTGCTTCGGATCCTGTCTCCTGTGGGGCTGGGGGTGGGCCAGAAGTGATAAGTACGCAGGTGGAGCCACTGCCTCTCCACCCACTCAATTCCCCTGAGAGGTGGACAGGCCTGCAGGGTTGGTGGAATACAGAAGTAGTCTGAATCTGCTTGGCCAGGCCCTATCCCAACTAAGCCTAGTAGCAAGAATATTGGTGTATAAATACCAGCAGATATAAAAACATTAATTAATAACATAAATGCAAATGAATGTGCATGTATTTACTACTATAACGTATAATACTAGAGGTATTCTATATAAGTTAAAATAAACACAAATAGGAACACAAATACATTAAGTAAAATGGAAATGTGTTAGTATATATTAACTACACAGACAAACAAATTTATGTAAGGAACAAATGTTTAAAAATCTAAATATACAGCCCTGGCCAGGTAGCTCATTTGGTTAGTGTCCTGATATGCCAAGGTTGCAGGTTCAATCTCCAGTCAGGGCACAAACAAGAAGCAACCAATGGCTCAGGGGCATGGCTCAGTGGTTGAGCATTGACCTATGAACACAGTTCAATTCCTGGTCAGAGCATGCCCAGGTTGGTAGCTCAATCCCCAGTGTGGAGTGTATAGGAGGGAGCCAATCAATGATTCTCATCACTGATGTTTCTATCTCTCTCTTCTTTTCTGAAAGCAATAAAAATAATCTTATGTAATAAAAGGCTAATATGCGAATTGACTGACAGCAGAACAACCAGTTGCTATGACATGCACTGGCCACCGGGGGGCAGATGCTCAATGCAGGAGTTGCCCCCTGGTGGTCAGGGCGCTCCCACAGAGGGAACTTCCGTCAGCCAGAAGCCCTGAGCTAGGCTCATGGCTGGCGAGCGCAGTGGCAGTGGCGGCAGCACTAAGGGTGTCCGATTGCCAGCTTAAGCCATCAGTCAGACATCCTCTGAGGGCTCCTGGACTGCAAGAGGGTGCAGGCCAGGCTGCAGGACCCCCTGGGTACACAATTTTCAGGCCTTTAGTGTGTGTATGTATGTATGTTTGTATGCATGTATGTATATAGGAAGCAACCAATGAATGCCTAAATAAGTAGAACAACAAATCTGTTTCTCTCTCTCCCTTTCTCTTCTTCTAAAATCAGTCAATATATACATATATTTTTATATATTTATATATATTAAAAGTATATACATAAATATATATACAAATAGATGTGTAAACAAATAAATGCAACTACATACAAAATAAAGTTTAAGTAACTGATGTTAGGACACAATACTCCACAGGTCTCTTGCATTTCTGTATGCTTTTCAAGAAAGGCACAAACTGTCCTTTGCTATTAACTGTCTTTTCAAGGTTGTTTGTACAGTAAATACGTAACCTTGGAAGGTAAGAGGAAGGGTCTCCTTCTAGCGCAAAGGGAAGATATCCTTACTGTCCTAAACATTATAAAAGACTGAAGTCCTTAAGGTCAGGGTTCCTTACCTACAACATAACTCAGTGCCTGTACAGTGCTAGTTAGCCTTCTTCATTTCACCTGTCTGAAGTGGCTTTCAGGGACTCATTCTGGATACTGCTATTGCTAAGAGTAATAAGCTCTTTCATCTCTGACCCAGGAATCTCATATCTTGCAACAGCACCCACAAAACTATGACATTCACTGATGTTGAACTTTGATTCACTGATATTGAACTCAATAGTTGTCTTGACCTAATTAGGGTAAAATCTCTGATCCTTTACAGTTCTTGATAATTGCACTGACATTTATAAATGTTGGAAGTTTTATATGCTAAAAACATGTGAATATAAAATTAAATATAAGTAAATGTAAATATATTTATAATTTTATTATTCTTACAGAAAACCAGCAACTTACAAAATTCAGAAGAGTAGAAAATTTAATAACGAATATATCACAAATATATCTTAAATCCTTATGTATAAATTGTTTATTAGTATGTATGTTTATGAATTATAGTCAAACTTAATTATTTCTGGTAGTTATGTTCTATAAAGTCAGCTTGAATACTGCATTACTGACTATAGAACCACTGCTCCTGGAACTACAGGTTGGTTCCTATGAGCCTGTAGTCACAATATTTTTGTAAACTAATCCTATGTAACCTTGTTTTATGTGTCTCTGTGTCAAAATACTCTATCCTACCTAATAAAAGAGAAACATGAAAAGTGACTGCACCTTCACTATGCCCACAAGCCATGCCCACCAGCCAATCAGGGTGAGTATGCAAATTAATCCAACCAAGATGGCAGTTAATTTGCATATCCAGTCCAGAGTGAAGACTGAAGATAGCTTAGAAAGAAGCCAAACGCTGCAGAAGGGAGCGAAGCTGCGAAAAAGCAAGCAACTGGGCAGGGGAGAAGGAACGGAAGCAGGCAGGCTGGGGGAGAAGAGAGGGAAGTAGGCAGGGTAGCAACTGCAGCAGGAAGCCCTATTGTAGGAATCTTCCTGCAACAGGCCTCTAGTTTAATATATTCTTCTTATAACTAACTAACTGTGTGGTCTTTGAAGTCCATCTCCATCAGATAGGTTTCTTTGCCAATGTCCTTGTAAAATAATCCAGTGTCATCAGCATTGAAAATCTACTCTTCTCCATAGCTGCTTTCCCACATAACACTGGCAGGTATTTTTAAAAATCTTCCGCAGACTTCTAATTTGCCTTACATGCAAATTTAACATTTTTCACAATATATCACCTTTGAAACGTTTGAGATAGCCAGCACTAGTGGCAACAGGTTTAACATTTTTCTAAACCTGAGCAACATGACTGTCACTTCTGGGCTTTCAAGCCTCATAATGCTGCCCACTACACTTTATTGGTCAGCATCGCATAGATCCACACAATTAGCCAGTCTTCCACCTTTTCCTTAGCTTCATCATGTATTACAGATACTACTTTCAGAAGCAGCCTCGTGTACAAATTGGCAAATTTCCTCTTCTTTTTCTAGATGTACCACACTTTTGATTTACTATAATGAACTCAGAGCTGATAATACTGCAACTCACCCCTGAATGAAGTTCATTTAACACTAGTGCCCTGTTGCACAGATTCGTGCACACTGAAAGGAAATTAATTGGAAGGTGGCTGGCGGGGTGTGGCAGACTGGGTGAGAAGGGCAGGACAGGCCCTGGAGCCAACCTCCCCTGGTCCCTCTCCTGCAGGCTGAACCTGGGGTGCAACCTAGACTTGAAGGGTGTCTGCGGAGTGAGCAGGTTCCTCTAGCAGGTTGGGTCCCTCGCTCTGTCCTGTGGGGATTGGCCCAAAATTGGTTCTCCAAAATCCGGAGGAGTCCCGGACTGCAAGAGGGCAGTTCTTGGGTGACACACCCAGAAATTGGGCTCCCTCCTCTCTGGTATCAGGGTGCGTCATCCAAGGACTGCCACTGCCAAGTCATCAGAGCTCAGAGGCTCCTGCATTGAGCACCTGCCCCCTAGTGATCAGTGCACATCATAGCAACCAGTCATTCTGTAGTTACGTCGATTTGCATATTACCCTTTTATTATATAGGATGTATTTTCTCCTACTGCACATCACAGATTTCTTGCACTTATTAGTAGAACACTAGATAACACTATGCTTGAGGGTCATTGCAAACAGCACAAAAATTTGAAAAACTCAGCACTAAGTAGACCATGAAAAGGACTTGCTTATAGTACAAGTGCTCGGATAAGAGGGCTTTGTTCAACCTGGGAATAGGTGCACCAGGCTGGTTAAATTGTTTTTGCTGCTCTTTGCATGTCCATGATGACCATGAAAACAAAGCTGAGTAATAACTTTGGGGGTACAAAGTGTAGAGAGTAGGTGAATTTACAAATATGGAATCTGCAAATAATGATCAAATGTATATGCATGATTTTAGCCCCACCCATAAATTTAACCACACCCCAATTTTACAATGCCTAACCAGGCTAAGTCCTACCCCTGACTGTGCCCACAACCCAACCAGTACCTCTGGTAATAGGTGTCTGAACGTCCACAGGTGGCACCTGACTTTCGAAAAACCTCACGACGCTTCCAGCCGGGGCCCAGGGCTGGGCAATCCAGCCACTCCTCAGCCATGGGAGCCACAGGAAGGAGCAGGGGCCTGCAATATGGAGGAGGCAACAGGAGAAACTGAGCCTGTCGGAGGTTACATGTTGTGCCCCAGACCACATAAACCACTGGTATCTATTAATACTTGTGCAAAACCAGGGACCTGCTGTAACAGTGATAATTTCCTAGTTTATAAGTTTGTAATCTTAGGGTGAACTCTTAGAGTGACATATTAAGGGTCAGACTTGACCACTTAGGTAGCTACCTCGGTGTGTGTGTGTGTGTGTGTGTGTGTGTGTGTGTGTGAGACACATAGATAAAACTTACCCCATATTCCTCCTGTACTCCACCCATAGGGATGACACATTACTGATAACACTTGTGTGATGACCTATGTTACTGATAGCCACCTGAACTGCCGTGGGCCAGAACAGGTTTAAAAAATGGGTCCCCGACTTCACATATCGATCATCCTCTTGCCCCAGGCTCCACACCAAACCTCTGATCGCGAGGCTTTGGTCGCCCTCCTCCTGCTGACTCAACCCAGCCAGACAACCAGCCACCCAAAGGCAGATCTGCCGCTGCCCGCAGAGGACGCTACTCTCCCCTGGGGACCCTCTTAAGTCTGAGCCCACAGCACCAGAAACCTTGTGAGTAATAAAGTGTGCTGTGTGATTTGCAACTGCATATTCTTGTGTGATGTAATTCCTCCGGCAGTCTTAACTATATTAATATAAGGTCAGATGATACTGCCTACCCTCGGTCCTGCTTGCTTAGAGTAGTCTCTTTGCTAGCAACTACTTAAGGTCTGAACACCTGCGCGGTTAAGTTTATTTCAAGGGACGCTGTCGATAATGCCCCATTTACTCTGCTCGGACACCTGCCACAGGCAACTGGCTGATATAAGGAAGAGAAATCCCCATTCCCACCAATTCTTCCCTGCCCTGGCCCAGGAGCTTGACATTTGTCATCCTCTTGACCTGGAAGCCCCATCCTCAATCCAAGGGTTCTCCTGCCTCACTTCCAGTGCCCTGATCCCATTCCTTCCTCCCCATCCATCCTTCACCTGAGTGCCTGTCATTTCTGCCCACTGCTCACCTAGGAACCTTTCACTCTTCCTCCTTACTTCTCCCCGTCTTTGGTCCAAGAGCCATTCTCTCTTTGATCTACTGGCTCCCTATTCCTCCCTTTGTCACCTCCCTACTCGCCATCATCAGCTCAAGAGGCCCCATTCATTGAGTCCCCAGGCTGCTTTCCCAGCACTGACGTCAGTGCTCCGATTCCCATTCGCTCCCGTTCTTGACCCAGGAGTCCCCGTTCTCTCTCTTTCCTTCCCTGTCGGATGTCCGCTTTATCCTGCTTCCTCAGTGTTTCCTCGATTTCCTGTGTTCTCTACCAGAGTCCCAAATTCCCCCACATCCCCACCCTGAACGGCCCCTCATTCCTTCTGTTCTCAGCCTGAAGGTTCCCTCTCTGTCGGTGTTCTGAGCCACAATCCTCTGTGGGATCTCCCACTCCTCTCCCCTGTAGTTAAAAGTTCCCTCACTCCTTCCCAGTAGCGTCGTCCTCCTCTCTCCCACTCAGCAGCCCCAGAGACCCTGGCTCTCCCCGCAGCGTTCTAACGCCCCGCTCCTCTCTCATTGTCCCAGGACCATGCCGCCTCTAACTGTCAGCGTCCTGACACCCTCCCTCTCCTCGTCCTCCGTTGGCTATCCTGGCCCTCCCTTTCCAGATCCAACGCCCCCAGTCATCTTCCTGAGAGGTCCTCGTCAATCCCCTCGGCGCTCAACACCCGTTTCTCTCTCCTCAACCTGCGAGGCCCCCATACCTCCTCTCACTCCTCTAAGTCCTCGTCCAGAATCCCGGCACCGCCACTGTCCACTGTCCGCGTCCTGAGCCCCAGCCCGCTCCGTCTTCCGCCTGAACCTCCCTATTCCAGCCCCTCACTGTTCCGAAGCCGCCATTCCTCCCGCTCCTCGGCCTGCGGGCCTCCTCCATCCACGCAGCGAGCCTCACGGCTCCCCACTCCGCCTGGACGCTCTCCACTGCCACCCGCGTCTCTCACCCGCTCTGCACCGGGCCGGGAGCTTTCACAGGTCTAGGTCCGCGAACCCATAACGAGGGCTCCCGCCAAGGACTCCGGCCTTGCCCAGCTCCTCTTCTTCCTCCTCTGCAGCCGCTCCGGGGGTAGCTGTCGCCGCTGCGGCCGTTCGCTGCACCCGAGACCGGAAATCCGGGGCCCACCCCCAGCGTTCCGCTCCCAGAGAGGCGCCTGCGCACTAATGCCCGGCCAGCGCTTGCCCTTAGTGGGCAGCACTGCGCGCCTGCGTGCTGAGTCCCGCAGCGGCGCGCGCCCCTGGCCCGGATCTACTGCGCTTGCGCGATGCAATCCAAGTCCACTGGCCTCCCTACCGGAGACCCGCAGTCCGGCGCTTCACGCTTCGCCAACCGGCGGGCTCTCCCCACTCCGCCCACCTCAGCTGCGCCTGCGCTCTCCAGTCCAACCGAAGGGGGCGTGGAGGATTGGGGTCGGGCCTGGGCTCCCCGTTGCCTAGGCGATCTCCTCTAGGAGTAACCAGTAGAGAGAAGTGGCGCCGGCTGGGGTGAGAGTCCAAGCCCTCCTCTCCCCCCTCTCGCCTAGGTCTCCCCTAGCTCTGCAAAATCTCCGCCCCGGACTACAGCGTCCCGCTCTCTCCTCCCCTCTGAGCAGTTAGTTGCAGGAGCTCGCTGAGATAAGTTACGCGGGAATTGGGGAAGGAGGCGGTGCCGCCTCAGAAGTAAACAAGCCGAGTCAGGCAAAGGACTGATGAGATCTGGTCCATCCCAGGAAGGGCGAGCTGTGGGGCCCACTTACCGGACAACCGGAGAAGGCCGATGAAGTTCCTGGCACAAAGTTAGTGGGGTCCTGCTGCGTACATATCCCAAAAAGCGGGTTGTAAGAAAAGAGGGAGGCTTGTGTCCATCATTGAATACACCTCTGGTCTATTTTTAAATAGATTTCTTAAAAATTGATTTAAGAGACAAAGAGAAACATCTATTTGTTGTTCTACTTATTTATGCATTCATTGGATCTTTTTTAATCTTCACCCGAGGATATTTTTCCATTAATTTTTGGAGTGGAAAGAGGAGGGAAACATCAGTGTGAGAGACACACATCAATTGGGTGCCTCACACATTCCAGATGGAACCTGCAACCCAGGTATGTGCCCTTGACTGGGAATGGAACCCCTGCTTCTTTGGTGTTCAGGCTGATGCTCTTAACCACAGCGCAACTGGCCAAGGCTCATTGATTTCTTCTATGTGCTCTGACTGGGGATGGAACCCACAACCTTGGTGTTTTGGGATAAACTTAAACCAATTGAGCAATCTGGCCAGAGCTGGACTGGAGAATATTAATGCTTAAACAGTGGTAAATCAACCAAACACTGAATGAGTGCTGACTGTATACTCACTGTCTCAAAATGAGAGCTGAGATTGTAAGTAATTGGGCTCTCCCTCAGCAGGTCATATCCCCACAGCCTAAGGGGGTAACTTGCACCTAGTGGATGCTGCCTGTGTATACTCACAACCTACACATGTACTGGCTTATCTACTTCATGAATTTGAGAATTCAGCTGCAACTGAGTCAAGTTTGGCAACAAAAATTTGGTTCTTCAAAATTTTATTAACAAAACCAGGAAGAAAGGAAGCAAGGGTGAGCAGACTGCACTGTTCCACCCAGGGATAAAGAATGAAGAAACAGGATACAGAAAGATAGAAAGTGAGTCTAGTAAGGGCAAATGGGTGGTCAAATGATAGGTGGAGAAACAAAGAGACCACTGAAGAAAGACAAACAGGAGATTCCAGGCAGCTCCCCTGCCTGGGGTGAAGACTGTGAGGACATCTGAGCCAGAGAGGCTCAACGGTCAGCACTGGAGCGAAGGTCGGTAGTGAGTGGGTCATGCTGGATGGTTTGATGCAGCATCAGGGCCAGTAATCCTGCCCGGTTAGTCATGGCTGTGCGTACATTGCGCTCCTGCTCAAACAGCTCGTCCAGCTTGTACCACTGCCAGAGGAACAGAGGAGCCTGACATGGAGCTCTGGAAGACCCGCCTCACCCTGGCCACATCCAGCACCAAAACCTACCACCCGCACACGCTCCAGGTCCACTTCAGCACGCCGCAACTTCTCCCAGCAGTAATGGCGGTTGCACTGTCGCTTGGGCAGGCGGCAGAATTCACCTGTGAGCTCAAAGACATCACGTACAAGGGGGCACCCACATACCTCGTCAGCTGGCACCTGCAGGAAGACAGGGCATGAGGATAATGCGGTATGGTAAGGCAGGAAGGAGGATGAGAATGGGAAAAGGTCAGGAAAGGAGGAGGGAAGGAATGGAGAGTTCAGAGGAAAGTGAGAGGTATGGAAAAGGGAGGAGTCCTATATAATAAAAGAGTAATATGCAAATTAACCATAATTCCACTATACCCACAAGCCACGCCCACCAGCCAATCAGAGCAAGTATGCAAATTAACCCCAACTAAGATGACTAGGTCACAGAGAGCAGGAGGGTGGCTTGGGTTTCCCTGGTAATAGAGAAAGCCAAGCTTTCCACACACCCTGGCCGGTCCAGGCCTCCACTCAAGGGTACAAAGTTTCAATTATAAAAAACAAAAAAAAACAAAGTTTTAATTATAGAAGATAAATCCCAAGAAAAATGGCGGCAGCCACAGAGCTGGAGAGAACAGGCTAGGGTTGCCTCCGGCAATGGAGGAAGCAAAGCTTTCCACTTGCTCTGGCCGGCCTAGGCCTCCACTCAAGGATACAAAGTTCCAATTATAGAAGATACATAAATTCCAACAGAAATGGCCATGCCATGGAGGAGGCTTGGCTCTGCTCCAGGCTAAAAAGTTTCAATTGTAGAAGATAAATTCCAGATATTGGGGCCCCCACTTGGGTCACTGGAGGGCATGGCTGGCCTGCAAACTACCACAAGCCCCTCGCCCAGGCTGCCCCACACCCAAAGGGAACCCCCACCCTGATCTGGAACA